TTAACCTCGAGCCAAATATTTTTCCGTACGGCCCTCCCACTCAATAAGTACATATTATGTTCAATAAAAAAAAACAAAAACAAAAAACAAAACAAAACAACAACAATAAACAAAAGCCAGTTGCAAATTTACAACAACAAAATAGGGAACTCTATATTTTTCGTTTTAGTCTCATTGCTACGCTCTTAAAAAGACTGGGGACTARTCGGACTTCATATTGTTTGCTTGATTTTGTCGCGCTCCACGATATTCCTCAAGTTCACAGAAATAAAGATTTATTGATTGTGAATCCGTGAATCATCTATCAGGCTGGCCTGATCTATGTCTAGATCCAATGCAAATTWTCGCCTACGTTTTGAGTGTACGTTTTATGGTATGCCGTTAGGTGTAAAAGGACCATCGCGGCTCTGTAATCTAGGACGGTATCTAAGCCTGTAAACACGAGATGYTKACCTTTYAATATCAAMATCYTTTTTTATCRTGACGTCACAAGGTTTACCATAGAACGTWATTGTCATGCTAATTTTGTCACCACTATGAAGCACGCTCCAATAACACCAGAGTTTAATGGACGCCGCRTAGCGAGAGCACTTAACGAGATCCTTATAAACGGCAGGGGGATCTCACTTAAACACCGCGAAGGTTTCTATCTCCCATCCACGTCTTTTCTAGAATATTCATCCAAACGAAATTCTGACGGAAATATTTCATCTGYTCGGATTAGCTGCGGATGTTCAGTTTAYTGAAACCATTGAATGTTTTAACTTTTTGAGCAGTAAATCTGCACTTCGTGCGGACGCATGGTGACTTATGTGTTCTRTAGGTGAATGMCTTGTTTTTAGTTTACGATTGAGTTTAGAAGCATGATTTCTCATTAATTTATATATTCATTAAAAATTCATTTAAAAATTCGTAATTAGTCCTTTGATTAAAAAAAGCAACAATTAAAAATATTAGAATTCAAATCGAAATTCATTACGAGTTGAAGTTATCTCCTCCATAGCTTCTTCATTGCTTTCGCTATGTTTTTAGTACAAATGTTAATATTTTTTGTATACTATATATTCTCTGGCAGTAATGTCCTCTTTCTTTAAAAAAAAATGTTTACCTGTCAATGAACATTTACAAAATGCTTTTATAAAATTTTTGATATATAATGCGTGCCCTGATTGGCTGACGAACGTGTTTAAATCGGAGGATTTAGATACACGGATTACTGGCAATTTTTTTTTTTTTTTTAAGAACTATAAAACGGCCGCTTGTGTCTCTGTCCTCTGATTTAAACACAATGGGAGTGGAAAAGCACTCCAAAAGCAAGAGAAAACTTGCTTCTCTCGTGTTTTTCAACTCCCACCATGATGTTTTTATCAGAGGACAGAGAAACGCGCGCCGTTTTATGTTTGGTATCTAACGTGGATGTGATATAAGTGCTATACAATCACAATATATATACAGACATCATCACTTTATAATGAGATGTGACATCATGTTCCTTAGTTAATTATTCTTCACTACGGCAATAAAAACGTGACTTCTGAATTAGTCTGATTCTAATAAGTGCTCTTTTAAGGGGGTCAAAAAAGGCTGAATCTCCGCTATCATCGATGACTTACGTCTCATGACGTCATAGAAAACTCGCCGAATTTGTAACTTTTGCTGTGCCTTTCTGGAAGATGCAATGACAATTGAGTTCAATACATCAATTAGAAAAAAAAAGAACTAAGAAAAAAACACAAAAGGAAGGGGAAAAAACAGAAGAAGAATGACACAAAGATACATTCATGCTACATGAAATATTTTAGAGTGTTTCAAATGACTCTTAAGAAGCGAAGKGACATTCCCACCARCCAACTGAAATTCTTAACGTGTGCCCATGATGTTGTCAAATTCAGTATTTATTTCTTAAACGATATCTTATAAAAGACACCAACAGATACCCGAGACGTGGGTCAAACTACAATGCTGTAATTCATAAAATACTTGTCCCCTCGGGCATAAAATCTAGCTGACGTCAGACCTTGCAGGGTAACCAATTGCAATTACCCGAAACAAACACARCTTTTAATATAAATTGACTTCCCGTATGAAAACAGAGAAGTGCACGTTTTTCCATTAAAAAGGAATTAAATGAGTTTTTGGCAATATTTTTTCGATGTTTTCTTTATTTGTAATTAGTTATTATATTTCAATTTATACTTAATACTCGATTTTAACTCCGTTATATAATCACAATTCGTCATTCGAAATAATTACACCGTCAACCTCTTGATAACTAATCTTCTGCGGCTATATTAAGCGGTCTCTTTGGATTTCTTTAAGCTTTGACCAGCTTCTTAAGGTTACCTCGGTCTCGGAAACCAATTAGGGGGTTGTATTACTAAATAACCCCTAAAAACGATCATAATCTTTACGAATATAAACTAACAGGTTGTAGAAATGCTGTCATTCATCAGRAAAGGCCAACTTTAAAAGGTACATGCGCTAAAAGTCTTTTTCTGAAGATGGTATCTTTAAAGACGCGGATTATAGTTTTTTCTTGCTTAGATAAGATGCCTGTAAGTTTTGAATGGGGTATAAGGGTTGAATTAATTTTGACTCGTAAGGCGATGTTCCCGGTTTACTCTTGTCATCATCAACTAAGATCATTAAGACTTAGTTAAGTAGACATCAATACTGCCATTGAGTGATTGAAATATGAAAAATTATTAACCTTGGATATCGAGTAAACAGCCCTTCAGAGTATTCAAGATAACATCTCTAAGGTAGCGCTTTTACACTAGCTTGATTTCTCTCATCAAAAGACTTTCATATAAACCATCTTTCATGCAAATCGCGTTGAGTTTACGTGTAAAATAATTATCCAAATCCTTAGATAACGCAAGTTGATATTCAATATCTTTGTAGATTTGTTGTACTAAAATCTAACRAGGAACGGGACATACGCTGGTGAACGTCTAGTGGCGCTCTGGTAGTTCAAACGTACTAAAAACAGGGAAAAAGACATTTTAGCTTTCTTATTAAGATCAATTTGCATGATTTTGTTTTGAAAAGGTATTATTAAGGTTTTTTTGTTTATCTAGATGTCTTTATCTAACCTAAGACGTATTACCCGTTAAGGGCACCTTGTTGTTTCAAATCTCATGGATATTTGCGTCGATTTTCGCCTTTTCGCACAATATTTGTACTTTAGAGTGTCAAACGGTTGTTRTTCCATTTCGTGGCGTTTTCKCACTTTGAAATCTTAATTAATATATATGAAAATATGAACATCTATAAACTTGTAGACCTTATAAAATGTATATAAATAATTGAAAGAAATGTGAGATGTCCCAATCCGTGTTTATCAAGCAAAAGTCAATCAGCGTTTGTTGTAGATGATGTGATCAACATTTATTCAAGGTCATAGATTTACTGACGTTTTGCTTCGATTGCGTATCCGCTTGATACTGACAGCTGTCAGTCATGCAATACTTTYCTCAAATTGCTTTTCGAGATTCGTTCTGAGGTACACTATGTAAAATAATTGACGTTTTTCCAGCTGCCTTTGGAATTTCCTAAAAACCAGAAGACGCCATWTTTCAGGTTAGAAAACATCTGAAATATATATTGARCTTRCCATTCTTTCTAAAGCGTTYATAATCTAGTACATCATCCTTTTTTGAACGGTTTTAATTAGAATTTTAGATGCATTTACCTCGTGTCTTTAACWGAAAAAGTGTATAGTTTAATTTGCTTTTTATATATAGATAAATTAGAGCTCATTCATAAACTCTATTAAGTGTATAGCAAGATATATAACAGTTATATAACTCGAAAGATATAATCTAATTCGTTTGAGATTTTAGAAATCACATTTTAGGTGTAAGGATGTTTTGGGCTTAATTTACAGTCCGTAATATAATATATTCCATCATATTTTAATTATAAACCATTCATTTTGCATTCAGTTTGATTTTATCTGCCGAGATAATATTACGCTGCAKATATAAAATACTTAAAATTTCAGGTTGAATAAACTGCAAAAAAAGTAATAAATCTCTAGAAGATATTGAATTATTTTTTTTTTCGAGGATCAATATAAATTATATAAATTATATTGAACAAGAATATATTCAGATACACACGTTATATGACTTTTCTTTGCTGAAACATCAACRCAATACTTATTAATATATAGGTGTCTAGGATGTTTTTATTTCAAGACATAACAAATATGATATTAACAGCCTAAACAAATATACGAAGGTTGCTCAGAATATCAATAACCTTCTATTTGGTGTATTCAGTTGATTCACATACAATTTTATGTTGTTTGTTCATATGAAATTTCTTTATTACTTACCGTCTGAAGATATATGCTTTGGTACTCAAGGACCAGCTAACCGCACTCGGTTTATTCATTAACTTACTAATTAGAGGAAGATCATTTAAATCAGCTTTATATGGATACTAAAATAATAGTCTTAGACTAGGGAAGGGTATTTTCTTTTAAAATATGACGATAAAAACGTGAAGACAGGAAACACAAATATATATGACTCAAAGGCAAAAAAACGAAGAAAACAATTATATATTGGAAAAAATAGTTGTTCAAATGGCTTTTCATATTTCATTGTGTTTGAAAATATGACGATGAAGTGTAAAGAAAGGATAATTGTAAATCACTCGAAGGCAAAAAAATAACTGAAGAAAAAAATATTGGAAAAATAGTTGTTCAAATGACTTTTAAAGCCAAGATATTTCATTGTTTTTTATATATTACCCTTTCCCCATATTTTATGTACGTGATAGAAGCCAAGGACGTGCATTTTTCTCCTTCCATTTACCGTTAAGGAAATTATCCTTTTAAAGTAGTTGATTGTATAAGAGCATTAAGGTTCCCAAATGTAAATGAGCCAAAATAGGAAATTCATTTTCTAAAAGGAAGCTATTTTGATTCAACATCATAAGATTATTTGTCTGTTATGAAGTCCTGATGTGAAGGTTTTCTTTCCTTTCAGATTCGTAACCGGAAAGAGTCCATCCTACTGGTGCACCATTAGTKTGATTGGTGTCCTTTCTCAGCTGGAATCTTCATGGGGAACTRTTGATTTATTGTGACATATTGTGGAAAAGCTACTTCGTCTATTGCATACATAAACGGTCGTGACAGAAAARGACTKTCAGTTTCTCCATCTCTTTAAGGGGTACGAGAARTAGACATATAATCTCTAATAACGGCAACGGCTTTCGAGTTTCTCTGGAAAAAGCATTACGTTACAATCTCATCATCATCGGTAATGCGCTCGCGCCGTTTGGTATTGGATATTTGACACTRGTCAAGTAAACAGAATTKAAATCCAAAGCAATGGCTTCGAACGAAACCAGCGCCTTTACAGATGAAGCACGAGTCAAACAAGGATTTTACACCGTCGCCTTCGCACTAGGAACCATTGGAAACATACTAGTACTCATTGTCGTTGCTGGGAGACGTGAGCGCAGAACTGTCAATGATATATTTATTGTCAATCTGGCCATCGCAGATCTTATGTATTTGTTTCTATGTCTGCCCACAAACTTTTTCATAGCAGAACTTGGACGAGTACCRTCTGACTTTTATTGCCGTTTTGTATGGCCAATGATGACTGTGACSATTTGTATAAGTATTTTTACGCTAACATCCATGGCGATACATCGAAGGCAGGTCATACTTAACCCATTTAAACCAGAGATTAAACACCGCTACGTAGTCTTATGGATCCTCGTYATATGGATGCTCGGGATCATAGTGGTGATCCCTCTTATCATTGTATTGAGCTCAAAACAGGTTGAGCCATACGGGTGCGAGGAAAGTTGGCCGTCGGAGAAGTATCGCAAGGCTTACACAGCTGCCCTTTTCGTCGTTCAATATGCTCTTCCACTGCTGATCATTGCTGTTGAGTACGTTCGCATCGGAAGGGACCTCTTCAAACCAAGAGGAAARCGCACAAAGGGTGACAAAAGAAGAGCAACGGACCCTGCTAGACAAAAAGAGAATATGCAAGTTATCAAAACTCTTGCTACAATTGTGACACTCTTTGCATTAACCATGCTACCGGCACAATTAGCTTGGATGTTGATTGACTTTGGTGCAGAAAMCGCTCAAAAGGTCGGGTGGTTTTTCTATAGGATCTGTGAATGGCTTCTCTATACGCATGCGTGTCTCAATCCTATAGTGTATGGCAGCGTTGGGAAGCATTATAGAAGGGACTACATCAAGTACATAAGTGCAATACTCTGCTGTCGCTGCAAATCGGCGTTTGAAAATGACTTGGATGAGTCTCAAATACGGGAGAGTTCATCCTGGGTCAACGATACTCCTCCTACCAGACAAGGAACTTGTTTGATTTTTAACACATGCGCTAAAAAGAAAAATAAGTTTACAGAAAATGCCTATGATACAGAAATTTTGCATGATAATAATTATAACGATAAGTCTTGCGCGGAAAAACATATATAGAATGTATAGAAGAATTCGCTATATTTTTTCAACATGTACTTTTCCCAGCAAGGCATTTCTGAGAAGAGTCTGAACCCRGCTGGACAYACAGGACAATTYCTTACGACGAAAGGAGTCAGCACCACATATTGAAATACTTATAGTCTATAGRAAACATCTTGCACATGTACGGGTTTTATCCTTTGATACCAGAAAAAAAAATAAGGAAGATTATGGAGCATCACATATGAAATATAAGCATGTACATAAACAATAGGACGAACACACCTATTTAGTGAGAGAGAGCTGGGGACACTATACTTGATGATAAATACATTAAATTCTTTCCAAAAAACTGTAATTGCTATAYGCTGGGTGGGGCGAATTTGTCACRGTATCAWAAAGCAATGKGTTGCGCATCGTGTKGGCATCAATGAATAGGTGCTATTTTTGAGAGTTGCTTTGAAATCTCATTTATGTATTATATCACTGTTGGGATCCGGCCCTGCTAAGACTACGCTCACACTGATTTGTTTTCGTAACGTTTATATTTTTTATTTAATTCCATTGAAGAAGAAGAAAATGGACCCAAAAGAACATCAGGGAGAGCAAGTCCCTTATAACGAATGGYATAAACACAGGTGTTGGTCATGAAAATATTTATGCGTCCGTTTTGGTAATTGATTGAGAACGATTGTTATTGCGCGACGTTACCTTCCGACAACAAGCAAGGACATCATCTTCAGACTGAGGAAGCTTAAATGCASTGACATTTTCCATTTCCTTGCCCTTTGAAATCATGACCCAGTTCCGCTCTGATTGTCAAAACAGCACTGAATAATCTTTCTCGACAACAGGATGATACACTGCACTTATATTTGAGTAGGAACAATTAAAAAAGTTAAATGTCTCCTAGTGYCTCGGTGAAAACCTCCTGCCACTTTAGTAAAATAATACTGAATAGAGCAAATTGTGGAGAGTCACTTTGGTCGAGTCATTTTATTATTTTTTTTGTTTGTTTTATGTTCGTTCCGTTTTGCTTTATTAATTTTTCCTTTCTTGCTTGGCTTGGCTTCTTTGTTTTGCTTCGCTTTGTTCGTTTCTAGTTTCCTTCGTGATTATATCCATATGACTATATTTAGAGTACAATGAATAAATACTATGCAACATCATACAGTATCTGCTTCTAGATGCTGAAAATATAATGCTAATTTATATATTGTTCTCGATTGTTTTGTTAGCACTTTTTAATAGTTAATAGTGCAAAGTGTTGCACACATTCAATGTTYAAAATTTTAGTAAATATCAAAGCTAAATTATAGATCGATTAAATATTTAAATTGATTTTCACTACAGTGGACCAACAATGCCAGACTGATTTTAGGAATTCAAACATGCATGTTCCTTAGAGAGCTGGAAAATTCTGTGAGCTCAAGAAAGCAGGTGTGCACTAGTGTGATTTTGCATGAGTATTCCTCGAAAAAAAAAATCATTGATCTTTAAAATTCCAAATAGGATCCTGAATATTCCTTGGTCACAGCTTTATTGGCTGCATAACTGCTGCTCTTTTCCGAGTAGAGCTTCCACTCTTGAGTGTACATCGACTATCAATATTTTAGAAGATWTGCCGAGTATCGACGCTTAAATAGTCAGAGAAGTTTGGTAAAATGTTTTATAATTGTTTTTWATGCAGTTGCAGGGATCGATTATAATAGCGAAAAATGAGTTCCTCTATTTGCCATCTATTTCAAGACTCGGTCATAGTTTTCGCCAATCTATCTTGGACTACATTMATGATGATTCGATTAAATTTCAAAGTGTTGTTTGTCTTCAGCATTGTATTGTCGAATCAAAAAAAGCTTTATAAACTTCGCAAGTCCAACGAAGTCATTAGGGTGTTTTCTCCAATCAATCTTATAGATATATGCCAATTTTAATTAATGCTTTTTCCCTTTGGTCTACAAAACGTCAACAGTGAATAATAAAATTAAGCCTGAACAAAACGTTTGCTTTGGACGGACCCAACTTGTAGTAGATTTTGATCGTCAAATGGTCACGTGCAGAGAAATAAAAATTGGCGGAATTTTTTGGCAATGTCAGTTCATACACTATCTTGCATAGCTCGAGACAATCTAAAAAGATCACTAATTTATATTGTTATTAAGAGTTTTTTTTTATATTTTTTTTTTATTTTTCAAATGCACACTTACAACACTCTAATATCCACATAAATTACTATACAAAACGTACACTAGGGCTGACGACACTACGAAACACTAAATCATTTTAAGTTACATTACATTACATGTTGTTAAGAATTTATATAAAGAATACTAATAAGGATGACCTTTATCAGATATAAAGGTTCATGACCCTAGAAAAGGTCTCAGGTTTTAAACCTGATCATTGACCAATGCAGGATGTCACCCGATTTCATTGAACAGCCAAGAGCGGTTCTATTTTACTTTATGCGTATTCAATGTGGGATGACAAGAGTGCTTTGTAAAGTGCTTCGCGCATGATCACATGATCAGCTTGCCCCATTTATCTCTGAACATATTTATACGGGAATTTCTCCAAGAATTTTACCGGATTTGAGTTTCAACTTAGTGTTGGAGTTTTTYAAGCCGTTTAAAACACTCGAGATCGTGTTTTAAACTATACTTATAAAATGAAATCAGGTCAATAAATCAAAATCAAATCAAACGCTGAAGTGCTTCCAATTTAACCAAGTTCCACGCTTATTCGTTCCTCTCCTTTAAATCGAATCACCAGTATCTCTAATTAAACGTTTTATATTTCTTCGAAATTGTGGTGACCTTGTGTTTGCAATTAGTACTTTTTCAGATCAAACGACGAAAAATGATGATTATTCAAACATGGGCTATATGATAAAAATAAGCAGAAAGCGATTGCGGGCTCACCTGTGGTATTTCCACGCTGAAATATTCTCGATCACGCCTGTTCAATCGACTCGAGAGCCAATCAGATTGCGAGCAATATAAGATATATGCTAYATTGGATTTCAGTGATTCTTACATAAATCGCCCTATTCGATACCTGTGGTAATAGGTCACGGTCATCTGCCTTGCAAAATGCACACTAGTCAGACAACAAAATGAACGGACAAAATGATCAGAGCCAAAATGTCAAGCACCTCTCGAGAGAAAAAAATACTCTTAACAATTCATTTGACAATTCTTCAGTAAATACAAATCAAWATTATAATAGTATATTTAATAGCATTTATTTTAAACAGTTCATTCTAAGTATTATTCGAAGATAGTGCTAAAGTCGATTCCGGATTACGCTCTGCCTTGTCATTTGGGATTTCTATTCTCACTTACTCCACAAATTAAGAGAGTACAGTGAGGTACACCTCTTGGGCTTATTGCCAAAGTCACATTCGCCTGGACCAGTTTCCGCAAAAGCTGCAGCTTCGACCTCAGTATCGGCGATTCCAAGATCAGCTATATTTTGCAGCCATAACCTCCCCCAACATTCATCACCACTGCACCATCAAGAAGCCAATGTAATCACAGCTCTGTAGTTTGCTACTGCAATTGCTTTGAAAAAAAAAACAACAATTGTCCAAATGGAACTGCACGAACTTTGTATTTGTTGGGGGCAGACTATTGGTTTATCACACTTTAGAAATGTGCTTCTCGTCTGTTACAGAGCGCTTCCCAGAAAAGTCCCAAGAATAGTATACTTTCTATTTYGATTTGCCTGTGTATGCGTTTCATTTTATTTATTCATTTATTTTTTGTCGTTTTTGTTTGTTTTTGTTTTCTTTTTTCAGTCAGCTGTAAGCAAGTAAACAACGAACTTTGGCATTGCCAGACTGATGAATATAGGGTTTATAGGCGGATCTTTGTTTACATGATTTTCCTCATTAGCATAAGCTTTTTTGCTTTTAAGCAAGCTAAATCCAAATCTATACTGAATATTTACAGATATTGGCTCAATTAGCACTCCACGAAAATTTGAGCTTGATATATCCAATAGATTTCGCATAATATGGCTTTAAAAACTACGAATTTTACAAAGAATGTATGGGCTCATTAGCGCTTTGCCACACAGACTTTGCCACACAGAAAAAAGCCACGAAATAAGAAAACTTAAATCAAAACTTAGAAAAGCTCGTAAATCTACAGATTTCACAACACTTTGAGCTTTTTGCATGCAATTTTAAACACGATATATCAGTTTTGAGAACAATGGAAAATCGGGCTGTGTGGCAAAACGCTAATGAGCCCATACATTCTTTGTAAAATTCGTAGTTTTGAAAACCATATTACTCCGAATCTATTCCATGGATTTAGCTCAAATTATCAATAACAGCTAATCTTACAGAGTTCTTTCAATATTCAGTGTGTATGTGGTGTTAGCCGAAAAAAAAAATGTAAACAATGACGTCAGCGAAGATCCACCTATACCGATGTAGGTCGTCGATATTGTTCTAGCTTAAAATCCGCAGAAAAGCTTTTATCAATGSTTGTCAATTGGCCTCTCAAGAAACTATAGTGAACTCTTGAACAATCCACTAATGGCCATTCACTTTCATGATATACACCTTAACGTTAAAATATTGGTAAAAAACTCAATTAACCAATATACAGCAGACAGTGTTCAACTTGAGCGGTCTTTTTTTCTCCTTTAATTTTAAATTTTTTTCTCCTTTTTTCTCCTTTAAAACCATTATGGTTTTAATGTTATTTCCCTGATTCCCAGAGCAACCATGAAACAAACCCTCTGTCGATATCAGTTTTCATCTTTATTCAGCCAAAATGGTACTAGATACCTACTTATATATC